ATGTTATTTAGTTTAAAAAATATGAGTTCTCAAAAATGGCACTTTTTGAAAATCAGTTTTTTACCAAATTTTGCTTTTTTAAAAATCGCATAACTTTTTTATTTATTGAGATATTTTTATAAAATTTGTGGCATAGACCTTACAATTAAAAGTTCTTTCATGACATACTCACTCCAGAAGTCTGCAATCAATAGTTAATTTCAGTTTGGACTACCTACTATAACTTGAGTACTATTTCAGATAGATAAATGAAATTTCACATGTAAGTAAAAGATCTAATTCTCTACCTTCTGTTAAATTTTGAGTAATTTCCGTTGACTGGAAGTAGTAATTTACGCTACTTCCGATTTCTCAAAAAACATGTAAATTTTTAAAGTACTAATAATATTGCGCACTATTATACGCGTTTTTATTCGGCGTTTGCTTGGTGCGCAATGTTTTTTTACTTTCTCGTATATACGAAGTATAGAGAAAGTATTGTAATCGTGCAAAAAAAAAAAATCGAGATTTTTACAAATCTCGACGTTTTACACCTCACTGATACGGAAAAACATAATTTTGCAATCTTGTCCGTATGTCTGTGTGTGTGTGTGTCTGTGTGTCTGTCTGTCTGTGTGTAAACACGATTACTTGAGTACCGTTACTGCTAGGTTGATGAAATTTCATATATAAGTATTTTATCAAAATCGTAGATCCGTATCAACTTTTGAGCGATTTCCGATAACCGGAAGTGGTACTTTTTCTACTTTGAATTTTTCAAAAGCCTATAACTTGAGTACTATTTCAGACAGATAAATGAAATTTCACATGTAAGTAAAAGATCTAATTCTCTACCTTCTGTGAAATTTTGAGTAATTTCCGTTGACTGGAAGTAGTAATTTACGCTACTTCCGATTTTTCAAAAAACGCATGTAAATTTTAAAAGTACTAATAATATTGCGCACTATTATGCGCTTTTTTATTTCGCGTTCACTTGGTGTGCAATTAATTTGTCTACGAGATTTTATTCTATTTTTAAAACTTTAAGTATTTAAAATTGATTAAAAATCATGTCTATAGCCCGAGTTCCCATCCCCTGTTATTTTATATAAGAATATTCGAGAAAGTTTAGGGGAGATCACTCCCGGTTTATTCTACTCTAGAGTAGAGCAGGGGTCTCCAAACTTTTCAGACCGAGGGCCGCATTAACTATCAAATTTCAGTTCAGGGGCCAGTTACTTCCAGGCATGTCTTTGATTTTTCTGGGCAAAGTTCCTCAGCTATCAACTATCACCAACAAACGATTTTTCCTTGGACAAAAAGATCTCTGCGGGCCGGATGAGAGGACTTCGAGGGCCGCATCCGGCCCGCGGGCCGTAGTTTGGAGACCCCTGCTCTAGAGCACATTCGAAAATATCGGTAGAGTGGCGGGCGCCACCTATTTTCCCACGTTTTCTTTAACTTGCTTTCGCGTCCGGTTTTCCAATCAAATCTTGCGATCGATATTTCGGGCACTTCCCAGTTAGCTAGCGCGCTGAAATTTTCAGGGAAGCTTTGTTTCCGATGACCATCAGACCATAGAATATTCAATTGTTATTATTACTAAATTGATCCATGGAAACATTTTATTGAGCATTTTAGACCGCTATATAATTGTAGTAAAAACGTGGGGAAAATGGGACATAACCCAGTAACTGTAATTTGATGAAAACAAGGTTTGGTACTTTCCTCTTTTTGCTAACTGAGTAGTGTTCACGCTGTGGTAACAACTGGTGGCCAGTATGGGGGAGACGATATGGTCGAGTGGTTGGGTACACGATTGCTATCCCACTCGACACGGGTTCAAATCTATGTGTTCTAGTCAGTAACGTATTCACACAACGTGTTTTTTACGAGTTGTCTTCGTTTACCCAAAAAAAAGTGAAAAGAAAATCGATAGCAAGATTTTAATGCAAACAAACAGACAAAGACTAAAAAGTAGAAAATAATAATCATTAAAAAAAGTTTTAAAAAACCCACGTTTTCTGATTGAACTAAAAAGTAGAAAATAAATGCTATACATCACAATAATGCAAGCGATCACTACTATAAGCGATGAAAAACGTGGGGCGCCGTGATTTTCTTACAGTTTCTAATACTGTTGACTCTCTACAAGCTCCCTAATAAAAGTCAATAGTATTATCTAATCAATAGTAATATAACTTTTACTTCGGCGCCCCACGTTTTTCATCGCTTATAGTAGAGTGATCGCTTGCATTATTGTGATGTATAGCATTTATTTTCTACTTTTTAGTTCAATCAGAAAACGTAGGTTTTTAAAAACTTTTTTTAATGATTATTATTAAATCGACAAACTCCTTCCATAACTTGTCATATATGTACATGTACCCGTATATGACTATACATGTTCTAAAATAAATAATAAAAAAAACAATAATTGAACTACAATATAATATCAATGTTATAGCGTAAGTCTGTTCTGCATTATATGCATAAATATATTATAACAAGAACTGTAATTATCTCCTCAATAAATAGTTTATCAATAGCTCATCGCTTATGAATAGAATAAATTACGCACCTCGCTTTTAGCCTGTTTTTTTTTTTTTTTTTTATAGAAAACTCCTAATTCGTGTTTCGTCTGACAAACATGTCTCTTATCTAACAGCAATCGAACAGGGCAGCAATCACAATGACAACAACGCGGCACATCACTCCATGTACACGCGGAAAACCCGAAGTGAGCCGATGATCGCCGAAGCAATCAGAGTTATGTTCCTTGTGATTTGGCGCCTTCGGCATTTATTGGATCAGTTCGTGGCGTTCGTTCCATTTGTTCACTTCAGGTTTTCTGCATGTACAAGGTGTGATGTGCAAATGGCACTAGCCGTTCCAGGCTAGCGTAAATAGTGCAGTCTGGCTCGCCGCTAGACAAGTTGGGACAAGTATCGAACATATTTAATAAACCTAGGCAGTCAAAAAAAAATTAAAACTGTAACAAATGAATAAAAATAACTCATATTTTAAAATTATGTTTATGAAAAAAATTCTGTCAAATAGTGAGAGGCGGGCACATGCGAAACGTTCAGCGGGCGTAGAGTTGGGAACCCCTGATCTAGAGAGTAGAGGACAGAGTCAGAGGTAAAACAGTACAAAACTCCATTTTAGTGTATTTTATTCGTCGCTTCACGTTCACCTCCAGTTGAGCGTATTTTATTATAAACACAACCGAAACACAAAAATCTAGATATATTTTTGTTTTATATGAATGTGAGTTTTAATTAGAAAAGGTACATAAAAAAACAACATAAAAAGCATTAGGACAGTTCCAATTAAATAGCGTGTGATCGTCAGCGGGAGAAAAATTCCTACATGGTCAAGGATTCACCGTGAGTTCACATTGACTTTATTAATTATCAGCATACGTCATAGCTTGGGCAATATCTATTTGAAATGGTGCTGGCCTCAGTTTTGGGGTAATCGTGAGTTCATAAAAGTTTATTTATAGTTTATAGCATTCAATATTCCAAATTTGGATTTCTCTCAAGTTTTGACAAAAGTAAATTATCAAAACTAAATCCAATCTTCATAAAGAAATAAGCCCAATGTTTTTCTAATGTTTTTGTGTGTTTTTGGTTGTTTATAATAAAATACGCTCAACTGGAGGTGAATGTGAAGCGGGGAATAAAATACGCTAAAATGGAGTTTTACTGAGAGTAGAGAGTCGGAGTGTGACAGTTGTTGTCAGTTGAGTGTGGTGTGGACAACAACTCTGAAATTTATCTTTAGTGGCATCTCACTCAGAAGTGGGGTTTGACAGAGGTCTTAGTAACTTAGAAGTGGGGTAAGCCTGCCTTAGGGTAAAACAGTGTAAAACTCCATTTTGATTTTAGCGTATTCTATTTTATTCCCTGCTTCACGTTCACCTCCAGTTGAGCGTATTTTATCATAAACACAACCAAAACACACAACTTTCTGTAACATCACTAGCTTCGGCAGATTTTACTTACTAAACCAATAGATTACCCTGGTAGTTAACTAAATAGTAAATAGTAAGTGAATACACATATATGGCTTGCTAATGTCAATGCAACGGGCCAATGGTTGACCCTGAGCACTATGGCACCTACGTTTGTTTTAAAGGGCACCCTACGATAAGGATGTCAGGCTACTACATTAGATGAGATGAAACAAAACCAGGGGTTGCATCAGTAACCCTGCAGTAGAGTACCTGGTGCCTCTGCTGCAGTAAATCCAGTGGCTCTAGAGAGCGCCCTACAACTCCCCTGATCTGATACTGGGGGGGGGGGGGTGTTGTTCTACCTCACTCATGGCTACGGAGGGTGTCTAAACTACACTCAAGGCTTTCATTTAATCTGCCCTGGGTGGTATTGTGGACAAACCCGCTGCTCAACAACTAAGATTCATGGAATATTTTATAGTGCTGGCATTGTTCACATAATGCAGTTTGAGAATATAACACATTATAAGTTAATAAGGTTAAAAAATACAGGACACTGATGAAAACATTATATTGTGTTGTACACACTCTGATATGTAGGACTAGATCACAACAACATGTACATACACTAATTTTAAGGACATTTTTATTAAATTGAACTTATAGATCTTGTATTAATAGGCCTACCTGCTAGATAACACATTTTGTAGGGCCCTAGGCTTATATACTTTTGTAACATTATGTTGGTTTTGAAAATGAAATGTCATCATCAAGCTATTTTTATTACTATCCAATGTTTTACAACTACATTTTTAAAAATTCTTAGAGACTAAAAATGAGTCTTAAAGATGGGTTAAACCTAGCCCCTAAAATGAACTATACGCTGTAATTAATTAATGTGTTTCACATCTGTGACTTCTTTAGGACTTGTTATGTACATCAGTTATCATAAGCACCAATGTCAGCTAAAAATAACTTGTTACTGTTCTACCCTGCTCATGGTGTATCTTATGTACCCATGATAAAATAGTAATTTTTGTTTCTATATTTTCTGTTTTAGTTCTAAAACCAAGGCAAGCAGCTCATCTCCCTTAAGCACATTAATGATGCTCGGCTCACAGCTTCTTAGTTCCGGCAGATTTAATGAAGGCCTTCCATCCTTCGTCACACGAGGGTTGGACTCTGAACAAATATGGCAGCAGCTCGAGTTACGCAATGAACATAAATTATCATTTCCAGCTTGCACTAGAGAATTGGTTAGAATATCATCAGAATCACAGAGAAAACAGAAAGCTAAGTCACGGAAAAATAAAAAAGCTCCACCGCAGGTTAAAGAGAGCGTAGAGGGTGAGGAGAGTGGGTTGAGCAGTGGGTCAGATAGTAGTGCAGAAGATGATATACTGAGTTCTATTAAAAAACGGTTAGCTGAGGAGCCCTCGGAAACTGGTGTAGATGATGGTTTTGATGATGAGGATGATGACAGCGATGAAGATGATAAGTTAGACTTTGATTTTGAAGTGGATAATGAGATTGTTAGAGGGTTGTCAGATGACGAAAATGATACAGAAGAAAAAGATAAAGGTAGATCAAAATCTTCAAATAACAAGTTGGCAAAACCAGTCCAAAAACGAAAGACAATTGTTGATGATAGGTTTTTTAAGTTGTCAGACATGGAACAGTTCCTTGAAGAGGAGGATTTAAAGGAGGAAAAGAAACTTAGGAAAGAAAAACTGAACAGAGAAAATGATGACGAGGATGAAGATGATGATGATGATGAGAGTGATGAAGAGATTGACATGTTTGGTGAAATAGAATCTGATGTGAGTTAAAATATTGTGCGTTTTTTTTTTTTTGTTAATTAATGTCTTATTGATTTTTATGTTGATTCAGAATAATGTTCTGTTTTCATCATACCTTAGGTAAAATTTAGAAAATTTAAATTTTCAAATTCTAATTGCATTTTTATTGTTATTGCTGTGTTAAACTTTGATTTTAAGCCTAAATGTGATATTGATGTTGCTCTCAATATGTTAATGTTAGAAATATTAACTTAACTGTGAACCTGTTATTTGACAGAGTGAAAAAGATCCCATGTATGCAGAATTTTTTGACCCCCCTGATGATGAAAGTGACTTGAAAAAAATAAAGAAGAACAAGCAGAAAGATACTACAACCAAAGACAAGTTAGATAAAGATCAGGAGGATGCAGAAGATGATGAATCAGGTGAAGAGGAGGAGGAATTAGATGAAGAGGATGAAGAATCAGATGAAAATGAGGAAGAAGATATGAATATTGATGAAAAGGAGGATGAAAATCAATCAGAAGATATGGATGATGAGGAAAGTGATGAAGAAACAAAATTAAAATCAGGTGATGATTCTACAAAGAAGGTGTCATTTTCTTCTGATCTTTTGCAAAGGTTTGTGAACATTTGTATTATGTAAAGCTTGTAGATGTTTAATGAACCTTTTTCTCACAAATATGTTCATAAGTCTAAAACTACATTTTTCTTACTTTTTTTGTGTGTTAGTGATGAAGAAGAAGAGACAAATAAAAAGGTGAAAGAGGACAAGTCTTCCTTTGAGTTAAAACAAGAAAAGGTATGGTAGTTATTTTAATTAAAAAATTTGATTTGTAAATTAAAACAAGATAAGGTATTTTATAAGTGCTATAGTTTAGATATTAAAACTTTTAATTTCATCATCTGACCTTTTCAACTGTTTAACTGTAGCTTAGCGCTTGTGAAGGGAGATGATAATTATCTAATAATATATTCTACTGTGGTTTAGCTTCTTGCTAAAGCCAGAGAGATGGAGGAACTTAGTCTGAAAGAGGCACCATGGGAGTTAAAAGGTGAAGCCTCAGCTTCCAAGCGTCCTGAGAACAGCTTGTTGGAAACAGTCCTTGATTTCCAGCACACAACTCGCCCTGGTAAGTGTTGCCTAGCCTCACACCCAGTTCACTTGTAGGTTAACTATTTATTATAAGCTCTGGTAGAATTAGCTTTAAGGAATTTTTACTTTCATATGTGTTTTGGGAAACTATTTGGTTGTAATACAAAATTAGGCGTCAATGTAGAAATGTCTCAAGAGTTAAAAAATGCTTTTACTTGCTCAGTTTTTTTTCACTAACTTTCACACTGCTAATTTAAAGATAATTTTCAGTCCTGTGTATCAGATTATCATTAGTTATTTTATTTGTACAGCTCCTGTTATTACTGAGGAAACCACAAAAACATTGGAGGATTATATCAAACAAAGAATTAAAGACAAGGTAAAAAAAAATATTATATTTAAAGGGAGTTAAACGGTAAGAATTATTTTTAAATGTTAAGTTTTGGTTTTCTCCCCTTAATCTTTGGGAAGCCTTTTTCTTCACGCAGTTTGAGTCTTCAAATGTAATGATAATTTGCTTTAATATCTCACAATTTTATAGTAGCAAATGGTGTATTTTGTTTATTCTTTCCTGTAGACATTTGATGATGTAGAAAGGAAAGAAAAACCTAAAGAAGATGTATTTGAGTTCAAAAAAAGAATAGTCTTGGACCAGGAGAAAAGTAAGCTGAGTCTGGGACAATTATATGAGCAGGAGTTTGTTAAACAGCAGCAGGTAATCTATAGTGTATGATGTTGGTGATGTTCCTGTAAGGTGCTTATATGAGCAGCAATAAGTTAGCGATGTTCTTATGAGCAGTAATATGTTGTTGATGTTTCCTTTAGTGTGTAGTTGCATGAAAAGGAATTAGTAGGTGATATTTCTATCCAATAGTGTAATTTTTTTAAACCACATTTTTTTTTTTTTTGCTATAAATTTTTTTTTCAACCAGTATTTATTGGATAAGAAAAGTGCTGAGAATTAAATTGAACTAAAGGAATAATATACCTTACTTTATGTTGAAATTGTTTCTTTATTCAGCAAGACAAAGAAGAGGTGAAGGCTGATCCAGAGTGTGAAAAAATAGAAAAGGAACTGGGAAAGTTGTTTCATCAACTTGACGCTCTCTGTAATTTCAAATATACCCCCATGAAGGTCAGTCCATTGGGATTTGCAAAGATGTTTATTTAATATCTTGTCAGTTATAATACTTGCCTAGTCATGTTGGTCTGATATTCTTGTGTTTTATTTGTATCATGGTGGTGAGCCATGAGCTAATTATAATTAATTATGTTTTGTTTTGAGCAGCCTGGCACAGAGGTGAAGATACTGGTAAATACTCCAGCCATAACTATGGAAGAAGTTGCCCCAGTGGCTACAGCAGATGCAGATCTCTTGGCACCTGAAGAAGTGCTGGTTAGTCAAACTGCTTTACTTTGGCTTTTTTTGTTAACACTAGTACATTTTATTTATGGCTTTTTTTGTTAACACTAGTACATTTTATTTATGGCTTTTTTTTTGTTAACACTAGTACATATTATTTATGGTTTATTTTGTGTTATCTCACCACTAATGTGGTATCTATTTTATTTGACCCTCATTGTGGTATCTAAAGGCATCTATTTTATCTCACCACTAATGTGGTATCTAATGGTATCTATATTATATGACCACCATTGTGGTATCTAATGGCATCTATTTTATCTCACCACTAATGTGGTATCTAACGGTATCAATTTTATTTAACCACAATTGTGGTATCTAATGGCATCTATTTTATCTCACCACTAATGTGGTATCTAACGGTATCAATTTTATTTGACCATCATTGTGGTATCTAATGGCATCTATTTTATCTCACCACTAATGTGGTATCTAATGGTATCTATTTTATTTGACCACCATTGTGGTATCTATTTTATCTCACCACTAATGTCTAATGTGGTATCTAACGGTATCTATTTTATCTCACCACTAATCATTGTTTGTTTTTTTTATTTTACGAACCATTGTTCTATTTTAGTTTATCCCACTAACTATTGTTCTGTTATATTTCACCCCATGAATTATTGTTCTATTTTATTTTACTGTTTATTAATGTTCTATTTTTAAAGAGTTAAATATTTCAAATTCTAAACAATCTTCACAATTTTTGTTTGTGTTGTGTAATATAGGTTTAAAAATGTAGTAAAGTTGATCATTGCATCTGTTTATATTGGCAATATTAGGAGAAAAGAAAAGGAGAGCTCAAAGCAAAAGATGAGAAGACTGCCACTGATAAGAACAGGGAGAGAAGACAGAAGAAGAAAGAGAAGAAGGAGAGGAAAAAAGCTAAAGAGGCCAGGGAGAAAGTGGTGGAGAAACTCAAACCTGGCCTGGGTAACAAATACAGCAAGGCCAAGGCGCTGAAACAGTTGGAGCAGATCAGTAAATCTGATAAAAATGTTACGCTCATCAAGGTCTGTTCAATCTTTTATGTCATTGAATTACATGTGATAACTAATGTCACAACCATTGTGCTACTTATCTTACTTTACCAAAGCTTTCTATAACTACTTCCCTTTTCCCAAACTAGTGCCTCTTCTCTGAGTAATTAAGTTTCTCAAATATGACTAAAACAAGCTAGGTTAACTGGGTCAAGATTTAGATGACCACAACACACCTGGTTTACTGAGCCATGACCACAACACACTAGGTTAACTGGGTCAATATTTAGATGACCACAAAACACTAGGTTAACTGGGTCAAGATTAAGATGACCACAACACACCTGGTTTACTGAGCCATGACCACAACACACTAGGATAACTGGGTCAAGATTTAGATGACCACAACACACTAGGTTAACTGGGTCAAGATTTAGATGACCACAACACACCAGGTTAACTGAACCATGACCACAACACACTAGGTTAACTGGGTCAAGATTTAGATGACCACAACACACCTGGTTAACTGAGCCATGACCACAACACACTAGGATAACTGGGTCAAGATTTAGATGACCACAACACACCAGGTTAACTGAGCCATGACCACAATACACTAGGATAACTGGGTCAAGATTTAGATGACCACAACACACTAGGTTAACTGGGTCAAGATTTAGATGACCACAACACACCTGGTGTACTGAGCCATGACCACAACACACCTGGTTTACTGGACCATGACCACAACACACCAGGTTTACTGGACCATGACCACAACACACCAGGTTTACTGAGCCATGACCACAACACACCTGGTTTACTGAGCCATGACCACAACACACCTGGTTTACTGGACCATGACCACAACACACCTGGTTTACTGAGCCATGATTACAACACACCAGGTTTACTGAGCCATGACCACAACACACCTGGTGTACTGAGCCATGACCACAACACACCTTTTGTACTGAGCCATGACCACAACACACCTGGTTTACTGAGCCATGACCACAACACACCTGGTTTACTGAGCCATGACCACAACACACCTGATTTACTAGACCATGAACACAACACACCAGGTTTACTGAGCCATGACCACAACACACCTGGTGTACTGAGCCATAACCACAACACACTAGGTGTACTGAGCCATGACCACAACACACCTGGTTTACTGGACCATGATCACAACACACCAGGTTTACCTAGCAATGACCACAACACACCTGGTGTACTGAGCCATGACCACAACACACCTGGTTTACTGAGCCATGACCACAACACACCTGGTGTACTGAGTCATGACCACAACACACCTGGTTTACTGAGCCATGACCACAACACACCTGGTGTACTGAGCCATGACCACAACACACCTGGTGTACTGAGCCATGACCACAACACACCTTTTGTACTGAGCCATGACCACAACACACCTGGTTTACTGAGCCATGACCACAACACACCAGGTTTACTGAGCCATGACCACAACACACCTGGTTTACCAGACCATGAACACAACACACCAGGTTTACTGAGCCATGACCACAACACACCTGGTGTACTGAGCCATAACCACAACACACCTGGTGTACTGAGCCATGACCACAACACACCAGGTTTACTGGACCATGACCACAATACACTAGGTGTACTGAGCCATGACCACAACACACCTGGTGTACTGGACCATGACCACAGCACACCTGGTTTACTGAGCCATAACCACAACACACCTGGTGTACTGAGCCATAACCACAACACACCTGGTGTACTGAGCCATGACCACAACACACCAGGTTTACTGAGCCATGACCACAGCACACCTGGTGTACTGAGCCATGACCACAACACACCTGGTGTACTGAGCCATGACCACAACACACCAGGTTTACTGGACCATGACCACAGCACACCTGGTGTACTGAGCCATGACCACAACACACCAGGTTTACTGGACCATGACCACAGCACACCTGGTGTACTGAGCCATGACCACAACACACCAGGTTTACTGAGCCATAACTGCAACACACCTGGTGTACTGAGCCTTGACCACAACACACTAGGTTTACTGGACCATGACCACAACACACCTGGTTTACTGAGCCATGACCACAACACACCAGGTTTACTGAGCCATGACCACAACACACCTGGTTTACTGAGCCATGACCACAACACACCTGGTTTACTAGACCATGACCACAACACACCTGGTTTACTGGGCCATGACCACAAGACACCTGGTGTACTGAGCCATGACCATAACACACCTGGTTTACTAAGCCATGACCACAACACACTAGGTGTACTGAGCCATGACCACAACACACCTGGTTTACTGAGCCATGACCACAACACACCTGGTTTACTGAGCCATGACCACAACACACTAGGTTAACTGGGTCAAGATTTAGATGACCACAACACACCTGGTTTACTGAGCCATGACCACAACACACTAGGTTAACTGGGTCAAGATTTAGATGACCACAACACGCTAGGTTAACTGGGTCAAGATTTAGATGACCACAACACACTAGGTTAACTGGGTCAAGATTTAGATGACCACAACACACTAGGTTAACTGGGTCAAGATTTAGATGACCACAACACACCTGGTTTACTGAGCCATGACCACAACACACTAGGTGTACTATAATCAATTGATATTTCCTTCAACAGGGTGACAACAAAAAGATGTCTTCCTCTACATCTTTCTTCACACAACTGCAAGAAGAAGTTCAGACCAATAACAAAGCTAAGAAAGTGACTAAAGAAAAGACAAAAAAAGTTCTGGATGCTAATAAATTAATGTTATAATATTGTATAGGTAGTAGAGTTTTATGAAATTAAATGATTGGAAATAATATTTATAGGTTTTTTTGTTTTTTTAAATTTATTCCTTAGATGTAAGGAACATGAAAGTTAGAATGTTTGTTATGGTGAATCAAAACTTAGGCTTTCCTTTATTTCCCAATTTAAGTTTAGTGAAGTATGTCAGGTTTAGGATGTTCTGATAAATTGTCTCATGGTTTCAGCCATTCGCATTAATTCAGGCTCTGCAACAACAAAGTTTAACTATTCCGTTATAATAATTCACTTTTTATTTATGATGTAACTTGCATTTTATAATATTCACATTAACTCCACAAGTACCCTTTTACTAAAGTTTTCACCTTTTATTTTTCCGCTCAGTTGTCAACTCACCATTTTTTTTGCTTATACAGTTTTTAGCCCACAAAATAAGACCCAGTTTAATGCCCTCACATTAGATTATTAGCATAACTGTACCATCCAAAAAAGCGTTTGTCCTCTTAGTCTTTTACAGTTATTAGCTCCCTTTACGAGTTGTCTGCCCCTAGGGGGCAAGGGATATAACCAACCATACATTGACCGAGGCTAGCAGCTTTTATTATTGCCCAGAGGTCTGATTTAACCAAGCTTATTGGGTTGGTAAGGAATCTTGGTGTGGCCACTGAACATCCAAAGTGAGAGTCTGAAATAGACACCATCAGTTCTGCTCACTGGGTTATATTAAATTCCCTACATTCAAATTGGTATATTTGCTCTGCTCTCTTTTAAAAATGTTAAATTCCTATTGGTTTTGTGGTTTGGTGTGCTAGGTGGTTTAGTGTGTCTCTTTGTAGTGTGTTGAAATTTTTTCAGCAAGTCATTTTATGATGTCACTGTCATTTTATGATGTCAGTGTCACTTTGTGATGTCAGTATGGTTAATTGTCTCAATGTGGTCCATGGTGTCATCTTAGGACCCTGATGTTATCCTTGTTTCACATTGTTTGATTAGCTTGGTTAGAGCAGTGGCCAGGATTTTCTAAATCTGGGACCAAAGTAGAAAATATTCAGCAATTTCCCTGCTGACTTCTTGCAGCTGTAGATTATTATGTTGAAACCACTCATCTAGACTATCATTTTCTATTACATCATTTACTAGAGTAAATGATGTAACAGAAAATGCTTGCTTAGGCTGTGTTACAATTGTTCTGTAAGTTGTGTCACGAAGTGATGTTTTTGTCACACTCTGTACTGGCATTAAATCCACACCCCCAATCAACTAGCATTAAACCCAACCCTTTCTCTACTACTAACTAGCAATAAACCCAACCATACCATCTCTCTATGGTCTACTACCAAATAAACCCTAACCCTTTCTGTACTAGCAATAAACCCTAACCATGTCCCCCCACAAGCTTATGCAAGTTTTTATTGCATGTAATCACCTCCCACGACAAACCACACCTGCAATAATATAACATAGTAAAGAACGATAACTCTTGTTTTTGATTAGTTTTCCACAGATTGTAATTCATACTGTTCAACCAATGTAGTGTGAATGTAGGCCAAAATTCAATAAAATTAACAATTTTTACTTTAATGTCTACAGATAATTCATAGCATTATCATCAATATATTTGATTACTGATTTAACATCTAGCTATTATAATAGAGAAACTTGATCCATTTTTTAAAAATTTCTGTACAATCCCCCGTCCTTTTTAAAAGAATATTTTTAATCTTGTAAGAACGTTTCGGCCAGACACACAATTACATTTCTCACGATCGAGCATTCTAAATCCCCACAACTGCCGAACATGCAGGTTTACCTACAAAAACCTCCACAAAATGATCGCAGCAGCCAGCTCTCTACAAACAAATAAAACAACCATTTGCCCTGTTGCGACATACATTATTATTATTTGCATCAAAACACCGCGTTAAAAATGAATATCGACGCCACTAGGATAGCAAAATTGCTCGATTCACACATGGTAGGGTCTATCTATTTTTCATCATGAATGCCACCCAGATTTCTGCTCCTGGGGTTGCCAAACTGGCAAACGCTTGATTAAAAACCCAGCCCTAACAGGCAACAAAGTTGGCCAGATGAGCGGTGCTTTAAACATCGTTGTCCGCAAGTTTCTTGGTAGTTTGGGAAGGGGGGGGGGGGTGTAGCACAACATACGGCGATCGTGCTACGCGGGACCTGTCTGAAAGGTAAGCTCTGGTTAATGGCGTAAGGCTTATCACATCGTGTTCCAACATAGACCCAGATTATTATTAGAAGCTTAAACGTAAACGGAGCTGTTTAACTGCTCTGCTGGTAAGAAAATGTACGGATGGTCTTAGCGTGGGTGGTTGGCCATGTTTTCTGTATAGACCTATATGTGAATAAATAAACATATCTTGATAAGTCCATATCTATACACACACACACACACATACACACACACACACACACACACATATATATATATATATATATATATATATATATATATATATATATATATATATATATATATACACATAAATACAGTTATTATTCAATCAAGATTATTGCAAGGAAAAATATATATTAGGCCCCTACAACAGTTGTATTTTAATGCAGCCTACTTTGCTTTTATTCAATTGCTTGTGTCCAACACCAAAATACAATAGTAATAAGTATAAAAAAATATCGTAGGTAGAGTCAGTGGCGTCACTAGATCGTGTGTCATCCGGTGCGCTAACTGAATGTATCGCCCCCTACCTTTAACTTTGGATTTATAGTTCAGTGTTACCTTCATCTTCTGTTTTATTTTTTTAACTGGATAAAACATTGTTTAAACAGTAAATTTCACGTCACTTACAAATTGGTGTCACCCGGTGCCGACCCCACCCCCAGCCCCCGTCATGTCACTCTCTACCGGGAAGAGCCCAAATCTACACACAGACTACATAAGCAAATGTAAAGGGAAATAATCAACCGAGTTATGTTTCTTGGGATTTATTGCGCTGTGTTCGTGGAGAATATCAAGGGGAGAGCATCAGCACAGATAACTCCGCCTGTACTAAGACTAAAAATAAAATAAATAGATAAATAAGCGCAAATTAATATAGTTGACGTTAATTGCTTGTCTAAAATGATTTAAGGAAAAAAAATAGGTGTTGTAAAAATATGTTGTTGTGGAACAATTATGTTGGTGGATAAAGTCATTCAAATTAATATTATCACAATGAACATGAATGGCTTTTAATAATGAAATGTCCAATAATGTAATATCAAAGTCGAATATTGTAAAAAAAAATTAAACTGTTATTAACATAAACATTTTGGAAGGCTTTGATTATTTTTAGTGTCTAAAACTCTAATCAGATAAAAAATAATTATTATGCATTTTGATTTAGGGATCGTCCATAAACGACGTGATATGGGGGGGGGGCATAATTGCGCGCAGGAGTTGTCTAGCCGTTTCACAATGTATTATTTAAAAAAAAATTAAAAAACTACGATTATTTAATTTACAACAGAAAAAACAAACAAACCAAAACGCAGGGTGTTAAAAAAAAATTCCTCCATAAAATGTATCCCTCCGCCCCGTACAGTGACGTCACCCATGGGTGTACTCGGTCACGTGCTCCCCAAACTTTAATGAGCGGATCATTTTCGGCCAGACATCCACAATCAGCAACCTCCCCGCCCCCTGAGTGTCACGTTTCCAGGGTCAATTAGTGCAAAGCATATCTCAGCGTTAAAAAACAAACCGGTGCAATCCAGTCCTACAGAGGCCAGCATGTTCTATGTTCTAAATCTAAGTAGTTTTACCAGTAATCGTGATCTACTTCTCTTATCGGTTTTGTGGCAGGAATAATCTATTTTTACTTGATGCCAGGGCCTAGATATATCAACGTGTAAAAGTAGTAATTGGCTGGGACAGAAAAGTTCCATTCGTGAAAAAAAAATCAACTATTGGCACCGATGAAAACATATAAAATCAAAATAATACTCATTTAATATTACATATTTTCTCCCAATTTGCGTTTAGAATTGCTATTCAGATGAGTTAGATATAGACACGCACACAACTTTACATGCTTATATACAGTTTTATGTATATATATATATATATATATATATATATATATATATATATATATATATATATATATATATATATATGTATATATATATTACGTCTTCATAACAACGTAATATTAAGTAATTTTCATTTTTAAAGTTTTTCAGCCAACAAATGTAGTAGATAACTCAATAAATAATGTAATGAAAACAAGTACTATTTTAATTAAAACAATTCATTTGTAAATATCCAAACTCAATATCATCGTGTACTTTACAAGACAAACACTCATGTAATCACTGCAACTCACCAACTTGTGATCACGTTTAATCTCGACAGTAACTTGGCTGAATATGTGAGGGAGAAACTATATCTCTGTCTGGCCTGTTATGGCATTACTATTCTTACTGGTCCTTTAAATCAGTCATTGTTTAATGAAAGGCGGCTTCTTTTCTGCTAGTTGCGTGTGGACGAGGTTACAATGTGGTTAACTTCCAAACAAAAAGTAACATTTAATACGTTCTAAATGATAGATGAACTATGGGAACTCAACACACCATGGTATTGGCTTGACACACATGCACTCACTCGCACGCACACACATAGAAACTAACCCAGAGAAACGCACATACAGAGAGAGACACACACAGACAGACATGTAGACCTATATTTATATGTAAGTCTTTATATATATATATATATATATATATATATATATATATATATATATATATATATATATATATATATATATATATATATATATATATATATATATATATATATATATATATATATATATATATATATATATATATATATATATATATAAACAAATAAATAAATAAATATATATATATATATATATATATATATATATATATATATATATATATATATATATATATATATACATATATATATACAGGGCCTATATATATGGGTTAACTCAGAGAGGATGTGTCTGTGTGTGTTTATTGATATTATAGATATAGGCCTACATTG